TGCCATCCAAGCAACATCTTTTTCATGGACACCTCTGCTTATTTCAGCAAGACAATGCCAAACCACATTCTGTATGTTACAACAGCGTGGTAAAATTGAGTGGGTACAAGACTGTCCTGCCTGCAGTCCAGACCTGTCTCTCATTGAAAATGGGTGCTGCACTATGAAGCGTAAAAGCTGACAATGGAGACCCCAGAATGTTGAAAAGCTGAAGCTTAACATCAAGCAAGAATGGGAAAAAATTCCACTTACAAAGTTTCAACAATTAATATCCTCAGTTCCGAGATATTTTTTGATTACTGTTAAAAGAAAGGTGATGTTAGACAGTGGTGTTTGCCACTGTCTAACATCACCATCAAGACCCTGTCCCAAGTTTTTTGGAATGTGTTACAGCCATAAAATTAGAAACTAATAATTATTTGCTAAAAACAATATTGTTCTTTCAGTTTCAACATTCAATGTCTTGTCTTTGTAGTGTATTGAAATATAAGTTGAATAAGATTTGCAAATCATTGTATTCTGTGTTTATGTTTAACACAATGGTATTACTGGTTAGCACATCGACTTCGCAATGCAGAGGTGCAGGGTTCTGGCCTTCCTGTCTGGAGTTACACCGGGAATTGGGTTTGTAGTAAGCCACGTCATTCAACCACGATTAGATTTGTGACTGGATGATCAAGCAGGTGGAGGTGAAACTTCGGCCGACCTTTGCAACAGCTTTCTGTTTTTGCATTCAGCCATGGAGAAATACAACTTGTTTTCAAGTTTACAGCAATATGTTCTGCTATCCTGGAAATCCAGACTCATCGCTGTACAAGCGATTGAGTCTGGTGGCTAGTCAGATCAAACGCATTTCTGAAGCGCGGCAAAACAATCAGCGAAGAGCAGATGGGATGATTGGTGAAAAAAACATGTCTTTTGAAATAAAAGCTTCCAGTGCCGTCAATTGCTGGGGGTTTTAATCACACTATGTGTTTCTGGTGATTTCAAATTGAGTTAAATGCTGAATGAAACAAATTCTTGTCTCTCCGACGTGCCATTTTGAATGTTAAGAGGGTGGATTACCGCCGCCGAAGAGTGACATTGCTCACGAAGGATACGTCACAGCAAGTAAACGAATGATTGGACTGTTTGTTAAGAACTGAGGACCAGCCACGGTGAAGGGCTTGGTTTCAGACACACTTTCTTAGTGGGTGTGGCATATATCGAAAATGGTACAAAAATAGGTGTTTTTTTTTCTCCGTAAATTTTCTGCTTAAGTCAAATTTGTGGGTGTTCAAAACTTGAGGTTCCACTTTACGGCACAAAAAGAATATAGTTATCATTTAAGCCTTCGAAAGAAAATGAAAGGCTGTGAAAGAGAATTTCCGCACCGAATAGCCCGGAGATTGCTTGCTTTCAAGGATTTTGCTTGTGTCATTACAACATCCACTTTCGGACGTGTTTTTTCATGACAAAATGATTTAGTCTTATAAACTTTGGTCAATTTTTGGGCCAAAAAATTCAGCACATCCCTATAATTTACTTCCATAAACACGACGCCACTGGACTTCGTGGTTTGTGTGCATGTGTGTTACCTCAAGGACATATTCCATTGACATTAGAAGTAATATTTGTTTTATTTATCTGAGTGAGTACATAAAAATATTGAAATTAACAAAAAAAGTGTGTGAATATAGCTCAAGTCTTTTAGTCAAGCTGGACCACTTCACAATACTTTCTTGACACCAATTACTTCGTGTGCATTATTAGACAGGCTTTGGTGCTACCTTGTGGTATTATGGGGTGATACAGAAAGGGAACAAAATTTGCATTCAGGTGACTGCTCAGCCCAAAAAAAAAAAAAAAAAAAAAAAAAAGTGCAATTCAAAATCTGGCCATGCGAAATGGCAGGGGTTCAGCGTAAAGGCACTTTACTAAACTAGGCACTTAAAACAGGCAGTATAAATTGGAGCCTTGTTCTAAATGAAGCGTGCCATCAGAAATGTGCAGGTGACATGACGGATGAGAGTGGCTAGTGATGAAAAAAGCGGAAGGGGCGTGGCCGGGACGGGGCGTGGCCTGGACGGGGGCGGGGCCACTTACAAAAGTGGCACTTAAAGATGAAGTGTATTCAATTCACACACTATTTGAAACTTTAACAGAAAAAAATCCCAAGATTTTTCACTATTCTTTCAAGTGAAAATTTGTGCAGTTTTGCTTATGCATTCCTGGTGAGCACCAATATGTAACTTCAAATTTGCTGCTCAAAATCAAAACTAAAAAAAGAAACACATTCCCTGCCATATTTAAGATTTGTTCATTACTTGTATTCATAAAGTGTTGTGTAAATGTGATAAAACGCTGTTGATTCTTACCTCATACAGTGATAGTGAAGTCCCACACTGTTTACTATACTGTATATGGGTTATGAATGTATTTTATTATATAAAGTCTATTTACCGTATATACAACAATATACAGTTTCATGAGGTAGAATACTTATTTTCTCTTCATTTAAGCTTTTGAGCAAGCGCTAAAAGCTTATTGGTCCTCTGCGTATTTTTCCACTCTCTTTTTAGCCAACTCCTCTTGTTTTTACACATGCTCCAGGCTGTCGAAAAGCGCTTGAGATCGAGTAGTCACTTTTCAGGAAAAATGTCTGTTTTCGGTGTTTCACCGAGGTTGCGTGACTCTGTAAAGCTTTCCATCCTCTCGATCTGTATAGAATGACATCGTGACACACTGTACACAGAGCTTTACCGGCGACATCGAGCTTTTTCACGAAATCCGACACAAGCACAATGGTTCCTCTTTACTGTTTCCTACTGGGGACACCGTCAGCTTTCTATCCAACCAGTCCCATCGAAACGTGTTTTTCAGATCTGCATCTATCTGACGCACTTTAGCTTCGTCGCGAGTCTCGATAACATTCGGCATTAGCGAGAAAGGGGTTTCGGAAGGCGAACACGGATTGGTTGTGATTTGCATTTGCCGATATAGCGACCAATCACAACAAGTAAGACATTGGTTTTAGCCCGTATAGGAAGTAACGACAAACTAACGCTTCGCGATAAAAACGGGATTCAAAAGACAAGTCCGGACCCCCTCCCCACCCCCCAGATTTTTTTTACAGATTTGGAACAATATAAAATAGGTCCATTTTGACTGGAAAAAAAACGGAATTCCGCCAAAACTCGGAAAAATCTCATCCCTGCATGAAGGAGCTGATAAATTACAAAGTCTTCTCAGGCATGAGGTGTGCACCTGCTCCATCACTGACCCTGGCTGTAACTTGGCAGCCACAACAAAGACAAGATTTTTGTACATACAAGTGCATTCATCACCCAGACCTTTGACTGCATTCTCTAACAAGTCTGGGGCCTGCTGCTGACTCGTGTGCAGCGACTTGAGCAGTGAGCCCCTCCTGGTATCCTGCACCACCTAGCGAGTAGATTTGTGGATAGCTCCTTAAAAGTGAGAGCATCATACATTTGTACACAATAAGCGTAATTCAATTACCAGGCTCACGAAATTGTTTGTTTGCTCAGAAGTGTTAGGGAGTGGATGGGCTGAATTTTTTTTTTAAACAGAGAAGACAATGCAACAAAGAGTGGGTCTTAAACCAAAGTCAACTCCATGTATAACAAATTCTAATACACATAAAGCCCAGCAAACACGTGCCTTCAACGCACCACAACTGATGCCACCCGACACATCAACAGAGTTCCATCACCAGTCCGCCATGTCCCCGCCATCTTGGAGAGCCATTATTAAACGTTATGTGAAACGTTTGTAAAAGTCGAACCCGACCACAATGAGACACACCGCGCGTCAGTGAGGGCGATCCAACGAATTTAGCATTTACACTTCCGCCACAGCAGTCAGCTGAAAAACGCCTATTTTGAGCACCCCAATCTGGAGACTGTTCGTATTGTTTTCGTGATCGTGCATCTAAGCAAGCAGATGAAGCTCAGCCAGCACACAGTATTGTTTTGCGTTTAGATTTGGCACGACACCACACAATAAACACACGCAACGTCTTCCACGTAGTGAGGGAACAATCGTTCGACTCGCGTGCTGGGTAAAACCGTGACGACGTTGTGTTGTGGTGCGACGAGAACGTCAGTCACAGCAGGTCCACTTTGACACGCTGAGCGGAACGGCCGACATTTCCCTGTAACGTAGCACTCCGTAGTTCATAACACAAGCACGACTAAACATTTCAACGCCAGCGAGATGTTGTAAACTACACGTTGGGGTACTTGTAAACGACAGAGCCGGAACAGAATGGACGCAGGTGCAGGGTCGCTGATCACCGGATGAGGGGAGCTAACGATCATGCTAGTATGCTAACACATAGGCTAACTGGCCTCCGTCTACTCTGCAAGAGGGCCGCTTGCAAGCAGGTTTGCTTTGGGGTCTGATTCCCCGCTGTACATTTTACTTGACTGGTCGAGCTGAGTAAGCCCCGCAGACTAGAGTGCACCTTTGGTTGAACACAGCATCTACTTTCGATGTTCTACCTTCATCAACAGGGCCTTCGTTCTGGCGCCATCTTCATGAAGCTTCTGAAATCCAAATAGTGAGCTGCAAGCAGAAAGACAACATAGGCGGCTCGGCGTTAGTTGCGAAGCGCCTCGGCATGCAGGCGAAGAAATCCACTCGATTTCACACAACACGTGAAGACACGGGCATGCTGTTCCCACCTGTCAATCCCGGCCAAACTGTCCCTTTCCTGGGCTGTCAGTGTCGGAAAGTCCTCCTCTGTTTCACTCGCTTTTCCCGCCGCCATTTTCTTTTCCTCATCACCACCATCAGAAGCTGAGCCGAGACTCCGAGCAGCAGCGCAGGCAGCAACGGCGACAGACACACTGCACGATTGCATGGAAAAATCCCAACGCAGGGGCGATCGTCTTACTCCACCGAATCAAACAGAGGCAACCGAAGAAAGGCAAACAATCAAAAACTTTTTCCCAGTCTGAAAAGATGCGAATCGATGTAGTAATTCCTTTCCGGGGGACAGCAGCGCTGTGCGAGCTGATCTTCAGGCGTTACATTTTTTCTTCCCTAAGCGAGATCATACCGTGGCTCAACTGCGACTACCCGAACACATAATCCAAATGTGTAAGTACAGTATTGCTCAATTAAACGCGTTTCGGCCGAGAAGATAAAGTTGTTTTAATTGTGTCACCGAAGCGAACCCACGCGCCGTCGTGGCCACGCCCTAACCCTGTGTTTTAGCCAATCAACATGCGTGCATCCCACCATATGACTTATTTGCCATAGCTTCTCGTTTTAAATAATATACTGTACATCATCCGTGTGCAAACAAGTATGCGTATGGAGTCTGATAAACTGAAACCTGATCAGAACTTTGTCGATAACACCTCTCCGGTCACGACATTAAAGCCAAGTTTCACAAAGTACGACGGCATCTTGATAGCTAATTGTAAATATTGAGATACTTTGTCCCGAGGTGTCAAATGTAGATTCTATCCACGCCATTCATGCAATGTGAATTATGTTAGAACTTTCAAATGTGTTGCCACATGCCCGGAATCCGCTCCCAACAAGAAAGAAAGATCCCGATATTTTAATAATAAACTTGTCGGGCTTACGTGGCATGGCATCATCGTGTGGGCGCGGCTTATTTTGTCAACATCCTGTTAAATTCTCCAGCCCCTCCAAAATGGCGACCGTGGACCAGAGGGAAGGTGCGCAATGATTTTTGTATGAATTACCGACGGAGTCGCTTCAAATAATTAGATACATTGAGAATATGTAGTCTCTGTACTTAGTCCCTAATTGTTATTGAAATATTTGCCGTAGTCATTTGATGATGACTTGCCAAAAATACTGCATCCGAACCCCATTATTATGACGTTTTTATTCCAGCTATTTAGTGGTTCTATATATAAATTCGAAGGTACCTGTCAAGAGCTGAATCTTTGGCTCCTGCAGGTCGTTCCTTATGATGCCGTGCTGAAAAAGAATTCAGGTCAACTTGAATTTTTCTTTGTGAACCTGATCTTTAAGATAAGATAAGGAAACATTTATTGTCTCACAATGGAGAAATTTGCACTTTACAGCAGCTAAGTTTGGAGGGAAGAAGTAGTAAAAGTAGAAAACAAGTATTTGCCTGCACAAAATACATTTTTAAAAAATGAAAAAAAAAGAACTGTACACAGTACAGAATGCAATATAAAAATACAAAATATGAGATACTGTATAAGCATATTATTCAACTCATATCAGCAGGGCAGGAGGAGCCGGGGAGTGACGAAGAGGTGTACGAGGTGGTGGATCTGACAGAATACGCTCGGCAGCATCAGTGGTGGAGCAGGATATTTGGGAACAATTCTGGGCCTATAGCTGAGAAATACTCTGTCGCAACCCAGCTCATGATGGGAGGGCTCACTGGATGGTAAACGTTAAACTTCATATATTTGGTTCAGTGGACTTCCATAGAATGTATAATATTACCATTCATCATTTGTCCGCCCTCCACTCAATGCATGCAGGTGTGCTGGTTATATCTTCCAGAGAGTGGGTAAAGTGGCCGCCACTGCTGTCGGTGGAGGGTTCCTCCTTTTACAGGCAAGACATCCACATTTTTGAGTTTTTATTTTTTATATATATATATATATACACACACACACACACACACACACACACACACACACACACACACACATACATATATATATC